ATGTTAATAAATTAATATATTATTAAATAAAGCAATATTAAGTACTCTATATAAAGTAACAAAAATTAGTTTTCCCGAATTTTGCAGATAAAACTAAAAATATTTTGAAAGAGGTGGAATATATACAATACAGATAAACTAAAAATGTTTAAGTAAATAAAAATATATAAATTATAGGTTACAAAAAATGTTATATCAAGAGATAATCTTGAAGGAAAATAAAATATCTTGTTTTTTTATAGGTTTATAATAAAAATAAGGAAAATTCTATGAGTTATAATGTAATGATTAATCTCAGTTAAAATACGGACAGTAAAATAAACCAAACTCCAAAACTCCAATGTAAGAACAATACACTAAAAAAAAAAAAAACACCAAGAGAGCTTTATGTCCCTTGGATACAATAAAGGATCTCTAGATTAGCCATTGACAATATAGATAGACTTACCCATTACCGCTACTCAAATGTTAAACTAACAGCAACAGCTGATTGACTTATAGAAGAGTTTATAAGATAAAAAAAAAAAAAAAATTAAGTGCCTTACTATTATTCATATAGATAAACTAATGGACTTTAAATAAAAATTTTATTTTCAGCACAGCAATCGCTCAAAAGAATTTAAAATATAGATCAAAAATATTAATTTAATTTTTGTATATCCATTTTTTTTTTTTTATTTATTTTTTTTTTTTTTTGCTTGCAACTTATTGAGATAACATCGCTAATAATTGCTGATAATCCGCTTAAAAGCAGTATATATAAAATACACAAAAAATAAAAAAAACATTAGCTACAATGCAAACACTAAAAGCCCATAAAATGTGGGCGTGGTCAACCAGAAATAGAAGTGGCTGCAATGCTGGCGGTATATTTAATTGGCATTAATGCGACAATAGAATAATAAAATAATAATTTATGCGGCCAACGGCATAGCAAACGAGAAATAAATGGAGATAACAGAGACAAAGACAGAGACAGATTGCAAATCCATTTAGCAAACAAAAAATGCCAACTAAAATCGTGCCACAAAGTGCCTAAGTGCTGCTAAAATTGATGAAGAAAATATGCTAGAAATTAAAAGATAAAATATCAATTAGTGGATTTGCTATTTACTAATTGAAAAGCAAACGAAACGAAAAATGCCAAAGACACGTTTCTAGCTTAAACTGATCTATTCTTTATTTTTTCTGTATTTATTAATCTGACTGGCAAAACTGTTTACTCGCATATTCCCGTTGAACTATTTAAGTTTTGAGAAAATATTTCAAATGCATATTGCGAGTGCTGGCCAAACAAGGCAATGCAATCAGCAACAAGAAGTGTTAAGCAAGCATTGTGTTTGACACTATCTTACCTCTAACACCATACCCGAGTTGGTCTTACACAAGCACGCACACACACGCACACACATACACATGCCGTCAGTGAACGGAAACGGAAGTGTGGCACAAAAGCGAGATGCATTTTAGCCTTTGCTTTTGATATGCAACTCGATGAAAGCAGCAGCAGCTATACACACATACAAACACACACACACATACAATTGGTATCCATGTACTTACGTGCATATATTTCTAAGCAATTTTTCTTTTCTTATGCGCTCATATAGCACGCACTGCAAATATTTCAATATATTTGCATGATGAAGCAGGAATTGAAATTCAAATGCAATGCAAGCTAAGCCAGCGGGACTTTTAAATGCGCTACGAGGTTGAAGTGTAGTGAAATTTTAATCGTTGCTTTAATATTATAATATTATTACGATTTATGGAGCCAATAATATCCTATATTGGTGGGATGGGGTTACGAAAACAAGGCAACGCTACGTTGCTCGTCTAGAGACTTTCAATAGCAATCCTTGTCACTGGTAATTCAAGTTGACACACAGCCTCCACGATCGGCCCCACTGGATAGCGATTGGGCAGCCGACCAATCGTGAACTAATGTGTGCAGCGACTTTAGAAGAAATAGAAAGATAGAACTTACTAAAGTGAAATCTTTGACCGACCCCTGACTTCGAAAAATACACGATTTCTGAAATGTTTGCCCCTGGGCTGACAGCTGTCGCATTCTAGGACCTCAGTAAGCAGGAGTGACATCCTGCGGAAATGGCTCCTAGGTCAATGCTGCAGCTGCCTCCGTCCCGTTAAAACCCTGGCAGGCCTCCAAGTACGTTCGAAGATCGTCACCAACTGATTCTTCATTGGTGGTACAGGTTTAAGTTGATATATATCCTTAATTTGTGCAAGATCCTGGCTCTGAACATTGGCTCCCATAAGGACCAAAGTCAACCCTCGCATGGCCTCCCTGCTATGCACAGATAACCATGAGGATTGTTTGAGTAACTGTACACCCGATCTAAGATAGCGGCTTGGNAAGGTGGCATCAAGTCAGCAACAACAACAGCAACGGCAGCAGCGGCAGCAGCGGCAGCAAAAAGAAAAGCACTGAGCACTCAGTCATGGCATACGGACGTGTGACACACGGCGTATGCGCAATTAATTCACAGTCCGTTATAAATGGCAGAGAAAACAAACGGAAACAAGTTGCCAATTTGCTGGAGGTCCATCATTTTAAGTGCCCATATGGCTATACGATTACGACTTAAGCTTAAAAAAAAAAAAAAAAAAAAGTGGGGAGGGAGACAGAGAAAGTGAAAGAGGTAGAGGTGGATGGAGGCAACAGTTATTGCAATGAAACGCGAAATATGTGCAATAAAAATGTTTAAAATAAACGATGCTCAACTCTACTAAAGACACACGCACACAACAAGCCAATTCATTCACACACATACACAGACTGCAGGCTTTCAAAGGATGATAAATGAGTGTAAGAGTTAAATGCCAGCGCAAGACGGAGACGCCGTCCAAACGAGCGCCATTAAAGCTATTTAATGGTCAACAAAAGCAGCTGAAATAAAAGAATTAAAAAAAAAAAAAAAAAATGAATAGCGACTGAAACATGGTTAATTGAGCTGGTCATAAACGAGCAACGAGCATTGGCTGGACCTCGTCCTTTTTTGCCGAGTAATTGACATTTTAAATGCAGCAGCAGCGGCAGCTCACATGGCGTATGATTGATGTGAAAGGCATATGGCACGTTCAGCCCAGTGTTTTGCAGCGGGCTAAGCTGCTTACAACTGCCAAGTATGCATAAGTAGCTGAAATTAAATTCACTTTTTTTCTCTGTTCTGTTTCGGGTAAGCGCAACAAGCGACAAGCCCGACTCCTGCTGCTGCTGCGACGAATGTTTATGAAAAATTACTTAAGCTGAGAGAAACATGAAAATGAATTTTTCAACAGCGCTTCGTCCGCGTCTGACCTGCTATCTTAAGCTGTCTTAAGCAGACAGCAAAACAAAGCACACACAAACACACACACACATAAACACTCTCTCTCGCTCGCACACACACACGCACACTGGGAAAGACTACATGGGAATCGCAACCGCAACCGAAGCTAATAAATAATTGTCTGGTTAGCAAAGACAAAAGCAAATGCCTATGC